TATACTGAAGAGAATGAAAAAGCTAGAGAGGTCATAAGGAGGATCCTGGGAGAGTTTCCCAAGTATGAATTGTGACATTTGGTAGCCGTGACCCCCGCTAATTGATCTACGGACCTCAATTAGCGATTTATTGCTGCCCGGCACGCTTCCACTCCGGCACTTCTCCGTCACGGTTCAGCAGAGCTTCGCACAGCGTTGTAAAACTGTCACCAACTTGATTCAGCTTTCAGACAAACACACAGAGTCCCGTTTGTCTCTATACAGCTTTTATTTCCAACATTTCTCAGGAATTTCCAGGACTAGTTGCAGCCATCACAGCACTACGTCCTTTTCCCCACAGCTCACATAGTGGGACTGAACAGAAACCACTCCCAGGCTCCTCCCAGCTTCCACAGCTGACGTCAGAATGTTGAGGCATCCTGGGAACTTCTTAACCAGTTAAGTTCCAACCTCAACACCCCCTCTTGCTGAAACCATTCTGACATGACCTTTTGAGCTCAACACCTTTACCTTTGCCTTGTGCCACTTCCCGGCATCTTTCCCAGGCACCTGTTGAACCCCTTCAACATTCCCAGAATCACACTGTGCGACACTTTTCCACGCACCTGTGACCTGATACCCTACTGACCCATTAAGGCCAGCAGTTGTGTCTTTTCCGTCAGACTCTTCCCCTCTGACTTGACAACCCTTCCGTGAGCTTTCTCCATTACCGGAGATGAAGCCTCACACCTGGACACTCCTTTCACAACCCTTGGAGATGCCCAAACCTGCCCTGAACCCTGACCCTGGACTTGGTCCCCATCACCGGGTTTTGAACCCTGATTCTGGACCTGATCCCCGTCACCGGGCTCAGCAACAGCCTCCCTTCTCCCTTGAGAGGACTTTGCACCCCGTCACCTGGTGACGTATTCCCTTTTCCTTGAAAAATTCCTCCAGAGCAGACCCAGTAAACTGTGACCCTCGGTCGCTCTTGAACCCTTGCACCTTGGTGGAGAACCTTAGTTCTACCTCCGCAACCCAATCCTTGATCAGTTGCGCCGCCTCTCCCTGTGGTTTGAGAGAGAGACACCAGCCAACCTGGCTGTGGTCATCTGTCAGCGATGGCACATACCTGGCCCCACCCAGACTCTCACACCTCATGGGTCCTGACAGATCTGTGTGAACAAGCTCGAAAGCTTCCTTGGCTACCCTCCCAAACCCGGGAAAACCAAGTACCTTTGCACCTTTGCATGCCCTGCACCCTTGGGACCTCCCACATTTCCGGAGTTTGTACCCTTTTGTGCACCTGTGCAACTTTTGCACATCACTGGGAACCTTAGCACACTGCACCTGTGCTTTTTCCAGCATTCCCACCACCCTCCATAGGTGACTCCAGAACAAAGAAATTGTTCTTGCTCTTCGCCATGTTGACCCGTTGTCGCCCCCCTCTGAAAATGGAACAGGTGTCATTTTCAAAGCACATTTTTGAACCCCTGCTTCGTTAGAGCAGATACAGATAACCGACAACTATTCAGTCCCGGCACAACGCAGACCTCTTGCTCCTCCTGTAAAGGAGAGAAAAACACACGTTAGCCACACCACAGACTGCTCCGTCTGCGAATAAAACAATTGTTCCTGTTGAAAACAGCCCTGCAGTCCCGCAGCTTGCCTATCAGGTGCTGCCTGATAGCAGAAAACAAAACACCCAGCGTGTCACCGTGTCCTGGCTGGTGTTGTTCTTCACAGTTGCCATAGAAGCAACAAACGTCCCGCTGCCCCCTCTGTCCTTGGCAGCGTCCGAAAACCGCAACATCCTCAACATGAATTTGGGAGACTTATCACACAAGTTGGAACATATATTCCTATGGTGTAAGGAATGTTCTTGTTTCAGTTTGTTTGAGGTTAAGCTGATTTCTGAGCCAGGGTGCCTGTAGTCTATGAATAAGCTAACCATCGTGTGCCAGTTGTTATGTACTGCCTGTGTTATGACAGCAAGAAGGAATATGATCACTTTATCTATGCCCAGATAGGGCCTGTAAGCTCTTCACACTCCCTGACTGAAGAAGGCAGCTAGTAAAAGAGCTGAGGCGCTTTGAGGACAAAAGCTTAACCAGCAGGGTGTAAACTCCTGCTTACATATTTAGGAATCTGAAAAAGCAGCTGGATTCTTCCTCTGAAGTGCTGAGGAGGCCATGCAAAATTGCTCTGAAAGCATATTCGCTATAAGATCTTACATATGGTTGCTAGCTTCCCTAAGGCTAAGTAAGGCATAGGATGGGTTAAACCTAAATGAATTTATTTATTTTTTAACCATCAAAAGCACCCTGCATGCCTGATACACCAGCTGCTTATTCCAGGAAATAATCTCAGATACAATTTTTTCCAGTGTAGCATTGGTCAGACCACACCTGGATTATAGTGTCCAGTTCTAGGTGCCACAATTTAAGAAGGATATTCAAATGTCACCCCAGTCATCAATTTGCTGTGGACCTTGGCCAAGCCACGGATTCCCCGCCTCTGCTTCCTATGTGTACTATGAAATTCATCGCACTGGGCTTTGTTCGATAGAATTGATTTGCCCCTGAAATGGTCCTGGTTTGACAGTCAAAATTACTACCTCTATTGGAGACCACTGGAATATGAAAGACCAGTTTGCCGGATGGGAGATTGATGGAATTTTTGGCAGGTGGGGGGCAGTGGACAACAGAGAGGCCCCCACCCCTCTAGGTAATTGGTTCCATTGTTGAAATTCCCTTACTGCTCAACTGCACTCTATCCTCAATAAACTTAAGCCCCTTAGATCTAGTCCTCACTCCTGGGTAGTAGCAAACAAGTGTTTGCCCTCTCCTAAGTGCTTGTATTATTATTCTTATTAGCTGATCAAAATGTGCTTAATCCCTTACTTCTCTAGCAAAATATTCCAGCAAATTGGTTGCATCTGATCAGTACAGTTTTATCTATGGTGTTTTTCTTTATTTGCAGCCTGAGCATCTTTTCGTGATCCTGGCATAGGCTGGGCGCTATTATCCCTAACATGGGAAGAAGTGGCAGGACTGCAGTTCTCTAAGTAGTGATACTCTGAACCATATTTCATCCTCATGCCAGAGCAAACAAGGCCCTTATCTCTCTTGAATTCCATCTGTCTCTCATGTTTGGAGTCCAGGGACTCGGGGAACCACCTCTGCCTTCATTCAGCAAAGTTTAATATACACTTCTTGTCACCTGACCGGAGATGATAAGAAATCTGAATGAGGGCAGTGGGTTTCCATTTTCCGGGTCATTACAGGGCAAAGATTAATGTAGAAGGAAAGGGGATCATTAACTCACTTTGATGTTAAACTTATTATTTTTTAAGTGAGTGAATGAGGAGGCCAACACTGGGAACACCATTTTGTTAGCAGTTTTTGTGGTTGTGTTTTTTGAAAGGAGAGCAAGAATTCATGAAAGATAGCTATAGCTCATTCAGACATTTTAAATGAGGGCTGTGTTACGTTGTCTCTGCTTTAATGAAAATTTTTTGGTGGGGAAGCTGCTGTTTTTCTTGTTGTTGATTTTAATTATGATATGGTGTTTTGTTTTTAGCATTGTTTTGCTTGTAAGCTATTTATTGATAGATGGCTATATAAATTTAAGAAGAAGAAGAAGAAATTAAAGTAAACCATTTAACTTGCCATCAAAGAACCAAGTCCAGTCTTTGAAAAGCACTGGTGATCTGGAAAGTTTGTTCCTGACTTCAGGAGTGCCTGTGATTTCTTGTTTAGGTTGTTAACACACATCTTGAAAGAGCAATTGTGTGGCTGTTACTGAAGCGGCACTGCAAACCTGTATTCTTTTTGCTAGGCGAAGGTCCCATTGAAATCAGCTGGACTTAACTCTGGGCTCGACACACTTCGCTTGTCCCATGCCTGGAAAGCACAGGTCCAATAGTTTTCTGTTTGCCCCACAGCTTGCTCTGATTCAGCAGTAAAGAGTGGATTTCCCCAGGAGGAAGGGGTTAGGGCAAGTGGAAGTGTGGACAAGCCTCCTGAGTAGACATGCAGTGGGTGCCTACTGAGAAGATCCATAAAAATACAACTGTAACAAAAGAACTATTGTGAAAATAAGAAATATTTGTGGGGTGTGTGTTTTTTTTGGGGGGGGCACCAAGAATCATATAAATTGAGGGGAGGAGAGAGACCAGTACAGCCAAAGAAACATGACCACCTGCTCCTCTTTGCAAGTTCACTTCATCTAATGGAACAAAAACATTATAGTCACTGTTTGCAATTATGTCTGATATAGAGCCTAAATGTGTCTTTCTGTCCATATGTGCTTGTCCTACCCTTGTGAAATTAGACCAAGAGTTACATGAATGTCAGCCAAGGGCTGTATTCCCCGCCCCCCGCCCCGAACATCTAAAATCCATAAAATTAGAATACTTATAGAATACAAGCATTCATTCAAATGTGCATGTAAAAAGCAAAACAAAACCCCAAAACAAACAGTAATGTGCTTCATGTTGTTATACTTAAAATATGTTATTGTTCTGCTCTCGTTTTGTAGTTTCTGATTGTAGTTCATGTGCAACTAGGATCTAGAAAAACATATTGGAATGATCTGAGCTTCTGCAAGAAACTCTGAATTGACATAGCAGTTCAGCTCATGCAACACTTATATTGCCTAGCTTTTAATTGCCATTATACTTGATATTTGGGGAAGTTCAGTGAAAAAAGAATTACGTATTTGGCTCTGGTCAGCTTCGCATTGATGACCAAAGATGTTAGAAAAGATACATAAAGCAACCGTGGGATCATAGAGTGTCCACACTAAGCTCAAGTCCATTCACACAGTCAAGCCAAGAGTTTTGCTGCTGCTGTACCTATTAGAATCACTTATGCTAAGCAACTTTCAGTCTTGGTAAAATTCAGATGCATTTTTCGCTGTCCATGGCCATATTTCTGCTATAAGGGCAAAGGCCACATTTTATAGCCTTCTTTTGATGCTGAATGCTTGTGCCTAAATCCTTCCACTTTCCTTCTCAGGATTTTAAGTGTCCCGTGGGAAACGCTGATAGATCCAAAATACCCGCCATGGCGTCGCGAATTGGCTTGCGGATGCAGCTCATGCGAGAGCAAGTCCAGCAAGAGGAGCAGCGGGAGCGCATGCAGCAGCAGGCAATGATGCATTACATGCAGCAACAGCAGCAGATGCCAATGGCTCCAACCCCTGCCATCAACACACCAGTTCATTTCCAGTCACCACCGTCTGTGCCGGGAGAAGTCTTAAAGGTACAGCTCAAGTAAATAAAAGTCTTGGCAATGCCTAGCGGGGAAGCCACTATTTATGCTATGGAAATTGCATAGATGGATGTCTTGTGTTTGCAAATCAACAAGTAATGGACAGGGATAGCTCGGCTATAGTGATCCATGTGCAGATAACTGGGCTCTTGTAGTGTGCTCTATGTTGGGCAGCTTGTAGAAAATGCGGTTGTTAGGCTGCTAATGGGAGCAGCCTATTGCAGTCCTGCAAAACCTCTGCTGAAAGATTGACACTGGCTGCCCATTTACTACTGGGCCAGTTTTAAGATCCTTTTGTTGGCGTATAAAGCCCTGAACAACTCGAGAAGACCTGAATCTATGCAGACCAGCCTGTCTGCTTAAATCTTAGGATGAGCTCCTCCTGGTTGAGCCACAGCCTGTGGAAATACATCTCCCAATGGAGGGTTGTAGAAAGTGAGTCCCAGAAGAATCAGTATTTTGGGACCTGTGCTGTTGAACTTGTTCGCTGATGATCTAGAGAGTTAGGGCTCAGCAATGAGGTAAAGTTTGCTGACGATGCCAAATTGTTCAGTGTGGTTAAAAAGAGAGAAAGAGATTGTGAGGGGGTTCCAAAAAGGATAGACAGAGGTAGAGGAAAATGTGAACAATTGCAATTACACACAGTTTTGAGTATGGTTACGATTCAAAATGAGGGCAGAGGGGTTCGGGCAAGCCATAGTCATGTGGAGTCAATACTATATAAGAAAATAAAGCATTTTTGTTCCCGAAGAGCTGCTCAGTTGAAATTTCCTGCTACTTTTTATATGACAGCCCTCTGCTTCTGCCTCTTTCCTCTCCTTTTTCCTGGACGCTTTCAGGTTCAGTCCTTCCTGGAGAACCCTACCACATACCACCTGCAACGGTCACGAGACAAGAAGGTCCAAGAATTCCTGTCTGAAACCTATGGGAACAAGTTTGCTCCACTGCTCAGCGCTCCGTCTCCTAAGCCTCCTCCTTCTGTCTCGCCTGGCGTGAGGCCTAGCCATGTCATGCCCTCCTCTGCCGGCAACAGCACCCCCAACAGCCCAATGGCAATGCTCAACATTGGCTCCAACCCAGAAAGGGAGGTGAGTGAGTGGCTTCTATTCCTGGGGAACGGCGGATCTTTTGGGAGGGCTGGGAGATAATTCTGAATCCAGTTGCACTTTTCCTGGGACTGTACAGTAGGAAGTATTATAGGAAGTAGGAGCATTTGTTGCGGGGGAGAATTCAAGCCTGCAACCACCTCCCCTTTCTGCAAACTGAATTGAGAAGGTTCCACTATATAGTTGCACCACATGATTCTCCTAGTTTTGCAGCTTCAAGTTTTAGAAAAGGGACAAAACGGAAGTCAGGTTTTTATATCACTGTAGGAACTGTAATAAAGGAATATGTTGACTGTGGGGGAACTTTCATCTCCATTCTTTTTTGGTAGGAGATGCTGTAGGAACACATGAAAGAAGCAAACCTTTATAAGACTCAATTAAATCTGCAGTTGTGTTTCTCATGTCTGTGTACATGGATTTTTAGTGAAAAAGTCAGTATTGACAGGATAGAGGAAATGGTTCTTATACCTCAAAGGCTACTTTTCCTTCCAGATAGATGACGTCATTGAAGACATAATGCAGCTGACAACTACTGTGGGGTGCATTAATCCAGAAATTCATATGCCAAATACTGTGAGTATCTCTGGTTTTTTGCATCTTGTTGTCAGAAAGGGAGGGAATGATGGAGGAAGGAAAGCTACAAGATCATCATCTCCTGGATGAATGGTGGTCAAACTATGAAAACTATCCTAATGTGGGGAAATAAGCTGCACTATGTGTGGGCCTATTGGGATGCTAGTTTGGACAGCAACATACCCTGCTACAACATTAGCGGCTGTGGAGTCTCAAATGTTTTTTAAACCCTGGCAGTTAATATAGTTTTCTTGGATTCACATCACTGGGATGAAACTGGCTGTCTCTAAATCAGAAGGCGCCAGAACAATGCCCTCTAGAAGTTGTTGGACTCCCAGGTCCCAGCCAGCGTGGCCAATTTATTTATTTATTTAACCTGTATACCACTTTATATTTCAAGAAATCCCAAAGTGGTCATGGAGCTGTGGTCTGACAACATCTGGAGGGCACCCCCCACTTTGTAACCAGGAGCTCAGTCAGTAGAGCATGAAACTCTTGATCTCAAGGTCATGGGTTTGAGCCCCACGTTGGGCAAATTATTCCTCCACTGCAGGGGGTTGGACTAGATGACCCTCATGGTTTTTCCCCAAATCTACAGTACTGTGATTTTACTATGATACTTTGCATCTGGCTGGAATCCTATTTCTTTGCTCCTTCCATTCTGTTGTACGTTATTCCTATGCAATTTTTAAAAAAGTGTTTTGTTCCTTTCCTTTGTTTTCCAGCTGCCATTGTCCAGCAGCCACATGAATGTGTATAGCAGCGATCTTCAGATGACACCCTCTGTGGTGGGCATGACCAGCAGCTCCTGCCCGGCAGATCTGACGCAGAAGAGAGAGCTCACGGGTAACTTGGCAGGGGTTATGATCTGTGGATCCATGCCTGAATTGATTTGTTGGGGCCATATCCAGCCCCAGCTATGACTCAGGGTGTAGGTCACTGGGAAGTCTTTTTTCATGTGCGCACATGAGCATATATGCGCATGCACATGTGCAACAGCACTCTTGTTTCTCTTGACCCACTGCTTTGCTTGACAGCTTGGTCTTTTGTCTCTAGATGCAGAGAACCGTGCATTGGCTAAGGAACGCCAGAAGAAGGACAATCACAATCTGAGTGAGTGGTGCTTGGTTAAAAGCATGTGGTCTGAACGTCTTCCCAAATTGTCTTCAGTGATCCCTGCTCTGTTCCTCCTTATTCCTTCTAGAGAAGATATGATAAATCTCTCTCTTTCATGGGCAGTGTGGCAACCCAGTGTGTACTGGCTTCTTTCAGAAGCAATACTGTCTTGCAGGAGTCTTTAAATTTCACTTCTTTGTTAATGCAAGTATCTGACTGTCTTGGTGCAGAGAAGGACTCCAGAATGTGGAGGTGGAAGACTAAAACACAAAAAGTCCACATGAAGACAGACCCAGCTCTGTGCATATGCAACAGCTACAGAGTGTTCCTAACACTCTGTAGCTGTTGCATATGCACAGAGCTGGGTCTGTCTTCATGTGGACTTTTTGTGTTTTAGTCTTCCACCGTCAGCCATTCAACTTGGAACAAAAGGGTGTTCATGTATCCAGCAAGCCTTTTTTTATCACCTGAGTGGTTCATAGAAGGCATGGGGTTTGGAGGTGGGCAGCTATTTCCAACACTGCTAAAGCATGGATTCATGTAATTGTGCTGCCTTGATCTGGAAGAAATCAGCAACTGCAACTTTGCATTTCTTCTTACATTTCATTTCAAAAGCAGACACCTGTTTTAATATAATTAGCTATAAGAATGGAAGATAATCAGTTGGGCGCTGCTGCTCTTGGGATAAAGAAAGAAAGCCATGTAGTCAATCTGGGGAATAACCATTTTAGTCACGGTGTTACCTGGATTTTTTTGGAGGAGAAATTGCTGGACATATGTAGTATAATATTTGTATTGGTTTATTTAAAAATATGCAAGCAGAGTATAAATGAAAACAATTAGCATATTAACTCCAAACAGACAGAGGATCCATTAGCTAAAACAGCCAGCCAGAAAAAGGCATTCTGAACTGCAAGTTATTTCTATCCTATTGGCTAACTCTGTCTCTAATTATGTCCTTCTTTCAGCTACACCAAAACTGCTTTTTTTTGTTATGCACACTGCATATACTTGCAAATGTGTATGCACACAGTCACAGTGTGTGTGTTTTTGGATGCAAATATATGCAGCTTTAGGATTGTATCCAAGGCTGCACAGGCAGTGTTACACTTGCACAATGAGACTTCCTTCTCCTCTCCCCCACATACCTCCAAAAACTCCTCCAGAGGGTCCCCCAAACCTGTTAAAAAGATTCTGAGGGTGTAGGGGTGCTACAAGGGAGAGGAGGGGAAGTTCTGCTGCATAAGTTGAACTCCCTTGAGTGAGTAGAACGGCAACATTAGATACGGTTCTTAACTGATTCATAATTTCTTTCATCAGATGATATTTATTCATTTATTTTGGCACCTTTGTGTTCATTTTTTATTGTATACTTTATTAAATATTCCATTTCCCCACTATTTTTCTTTTTCTCTTAGTTGAAAGAAGACGAAGGTTCAACATCAATGATCGCATTAAGGAACTAGGAATGCTGATCCCCAAAGCTGGAGACCTGTAAGTTGTGCTCAAATGTTCAATTATCCTAATGCCTCCTGAAGAGCCACGAAGGACCTTATGCTCTGAAACAGGCAACGAGAATAAAGCCTTCTGGGAAATCATTTTTCCAAATTCATTGAAAACACTACTTTCACTTCTGCCTCCCAAATATTCACAACACACCTTTTGTCTCAGCTAAAATTCCAAACTTCTTTAAGCCTTAAAGAAAAGATTTGTTAAAGGCAGATAAAACTTAGTATAATGGCACAAATGTTTGAGCTTTCCCCCCTTCATTTGTGTTTCAACACTAATTATGCTCTGAGCATAATTGCCTCCAGAACTTTCCTGAATCTGAAGTCATCCTTTTATTCTCTTAACATTCTGCTCCTATGTCTTTTTCCAGGGATGTGCGCTGGAACAAAGGGACAATCCTGAAAGCCTCTGTTGATTACATCAGGAGGATGCAGAAAGACTTGCAAAGGTCACGAGATCTTGAGAATCATTCTCGCCACCTGGAAATGGCAAACAAGCAGCTCTGGCTCCGCATACAGGTGAGTCCCCATCTTTGTGTCTTGTGCTCACACCTCCTAAATCTCTTACGTGCATATAGCAACTGCCTTCCTTTTACCCATTCATTCCTGCAACCACCATTTTCCTCATCCCTACCCCCGTTCCAGTTGGTAGCCTGGTCTCATAATCTTGTGCTCAGGGAATAGATGAAAGAGCTTCTCAACCTTGGCCGCAAAGCTGATTCTTACTGTGGCCTTCACCCACGTGAAAGCATTGCTGCCATTAGTAATGCCTATTGGAACTTTGGGTGGGTGGGTGGAGATCATGTTGCTTGCTCACCTGTTGGACTGTTGTCATGTTTGTGTGCCTTGTCCTAAAGGAGCTGGAGATGCAGGCCCGAGTCCATGGCCTTCCAACTGCTTCACCTTCTGGCTTGAACATGGCTGAACTCGCTCAGCAAGTTGTGAAGCAAGAAACCCCTGGAGAAGAGGACACAACAGAGATCCAGCCGCCACCGCAGCCGCCACTCCATCCTGAGCAGGAGGCTCAGCAGCACCAGCTTCACTTTGCTCCTCCTCAGTCCCCTTACCACCAGCTGGACTTCACTCACGGCCTGAGCTTTGACGACAACTCGAGAGGCTTCCACGACCCTCTGGACCCCAGCCAAAACGTCTCCTTCCCTTCCCTGTCCAAGAAGGAGCTGGACTTGATGCTGATGGAGGATACCATGCTGCCCATGGCGTCTGACCCCTTGTTCTCTGCCGTGTCCCCGGAGGCTTCAAAGGCTAGCAGTCGCAGAAGCAGCTTCAGCATGGAGGACACAGATATGCTGTGATGAGAAGCTTCTAAGGCAGAAAAGACTTGGAGTCAAAATATTGTTTGTTTTCTGAAGATTCGTCCCTCTGCCTTATCCCTGCAGGCTTACTCAAAGGGCATATGAGACTGAACAGAGATTCTGTTTGTGTGCGCGCATGGGGTAGGAAATGCTCCGCACAAAGCTCACCCCAGCTCTTGGAATGTTACCCCCAAGTTTCTCTTCTGCCTTGATTTGCCAAACACCCCCACCCCACCCCCAAGCAGCCTTGCCTCCTCTGCCGTGACCACGGGATGATCATGGTTTTCTTATGGCCCCTTTATGGCCTTTCAGATCCCTGCAGGTGTATCTCAGGGCCATGTGCCTTTAATGCTACGTGTCCTGCAGATCCAGTTTGAGCATTTATGCAACAATGTGATTTTAGTGTTGACGGCTGGGTGGCAGCTTGTCCTGTTTGAGAAGCAGCTTTAACCAAGGCTTGGTGCTAATCTCTTTTTCTTCTTGAGGACTAGCACATCCCTTAAGCCTCACTGTGCCCCCCGTTCCTTTTTAACCACCGCCTTATGAGAAACTGTTTTTTTCTTAAAGACGGGATATAAGTTCGCTAAATAAATAAAACTCCTGTCGTCATGCTGACTCCCATATTGGGGCTCCTTTCCTTATACAGTGGTACCTCTGGTCACAAACGCTTCTGGTTATGAGGTCCGCTAACCCAGAAGTAGCCGCTCCTGGTTGCTAACTTTGCCCCAGGATGCGAGCTGAAATCGCGTGCCGGGGCGCCATTAGTGAAAGCACGCCTCAGGTTGAAAACTGTTTCCGGTTGTGAACGGACCTCCTGAACGGATTCCGTTCGTAACCAGAGGTACCACTGTACAGGGCAGGGATATCCAGTAGACCCTGCAAGATAGTGAGGTGCTACCACTTATCAGTGTGGTGTGATGGGTGGTGATTTTGTATCAATTCTTTGGAGAGATGGAAGGATAATGTGATTGCTCTTGCAGAGCTTTTGCTAAAGTCAGAAGCCCAAGTGGGATAATGGCAGCCTTAATTAACTTTTTGACGGCTTTCAAAATGCACACTCCATTAGATTTCGATTAGACCTTTAGTCTGAGTTGTCCAAAGCTCGGCCTGTTGATGGCTAATTTTGGCTTGTGTCCATCCTCCATTTTAATCTTTTTGACTCATCCTGGGTAGCCACATGGAGTGCATGTGTGCACCTCAATATATTTCAAACTATTTCCATCATTCACCTAGCAAAATGGGTAAGCTGTCTTTCCATTTAAAACCACTGCTAGCTGCAGCAAAAAAATCTTGCAAAGTATCTCCAGCTGCATGTTTGCTTTCCCACCACCACCCATGTGTGACTGAGGCCACAGCCCATCAATCAACTGGCAGCAGCTCAATCTGTGGCCCCTTCGTGCTGGATGCCATACATCAGTAACTTTGCTACAAATGAATACATTTTTTTAGAACCTTTCAAATTCCATCCAGTGTCCCTAAGCCCTCCTTGTCCCTGAAAGGAGCTCAAAGAATCTCCTTTGCACCAGTTTGATTAAGCTTCTTCAGCTAAGCTAGTGCAAACTCTAGTGTGGTTCTGAGCGCATTTGTTTTAAACTGATTTTAATATTGTATTTTTAAATTGCTGTAACCTGCCCTGGGACCTTATGGCAAAGGGCGAGTAAGAAATCAAATTAATCATAATAATAACAATACATACATACATTCACTTATGCCTCTTTATTTTGGAATGTATGTGTCACTCTCCCACTACATGTGCAAATGTTTGGTGCGCCTATTTCCAGTAACAACTGCAAATCAAAATGCCATGAAAAGCTGCTATTATTTGTGGCCTGCTACTTTTAAGTGGTTAACACAAGTTGGTAGTTTGCACATGGACTTATATTCGTGGTGGGGAACGCCCCAAGCATACACAACTCTCCTGATCTTGCATTTCCTATCCTGGACACCCTCTTATACAATTCAAATTAAGATGGAGACATTGCAGCAAGGAATCTTCTCTCCCCCCCCCCATTGTCAAACAATGTATGAATGAGAAATTCTATCAGTTCTGAAGGTGTGTGCCTTGGTTTACTTCACAGCTTTATTTGAGTTTTTGGCAACTGCTATCTCCTAGAACTGATAAGATCACCAGCTGTTTCTTTTTGCAGCCTAAGTTCTCTGCACCTCACTCTTCCAGGCAGTCTTGGGCAGGTCTCAGAGTAACTACATTTTATGCCTACCATCAGTGCTTCAATGTCTCAGGGCATTTTGGTCAGGGCTCAATAATCCTTCCAGTCACTTAGGAATTGTGGTGCTTTGCAGGTCCAGCCCATTAGTGCCTGACATTACCTGTCCTTGACCAGCCCCTGGTAGCTGTGGCTGAATTGTCTGCTCTACACTTCTTCAGCCCCACTGGTAACTCAGGAAGTTCAAAAGAAGCAAGGACCTACTTTCTGACTGCTTGGCACCTTGTATGTTGCATCACATGAAAATCCTCTATTGCACTGCGAGCTGCTTCACGTGTACGTTGCACAGAGACTTGGCCTGATGTTTTTGGCAAGAGCAATATGTTTGGTGGTGCTTGAATGTAAGTAATCACAGATGGATCAATGTTCAGTGGCCTTAAGGTAGATTGCTGCCACAGGGCTTGTAAGCATGGGTCTGAGCACTTTTGCCTTCATCCCTTTCCCTCGGAAAACCCACTCTTTAACACTAAATTGGAACAAATAGCAATCTGTGGAAGTCCTGGTTGCTGTTTGTTTTGATTCTGTGCTAAATCATGGGTTTTCCCTGGGGGAAAGTGGCAGGGCAAAAGGAGTCATGGTTGAGCCTCTAGTGTCACCAAGCCTGTGAAGTTAGGAGACTTTGGCTCTAACTGAATTTCAGTTCCTTGGTTAAGTTGCTCTGTGTGTGATAGAGATATTTTGGAGAAGCAAGTGGAAAAATCTAGTCACATGAGGACAGGGACATTTTGTGTTTGTGAGCCTGGAGAAGTGTCAAGTGATACTGTTTGGATTATTACATTTAGCTTCTTAAGTCTGCTCTAGTCTTTTTGGACTTGCAGTGTGCATGCCTTAACGGTATCTAGAATCTGCTTCTCATTTTGGATGTATGGAGAAAGGAAGCTCTGACTTCTCAGAATGCTTATTGACATATTTAGAGAGCCCATGGTTCAGTGGAAGAGCTTGTGCTCTACATGCAAAAGATCCCAAAAGGGTCAAGTAGGAGGTGATGCAAGAGACCTCTGCTTGAGAACTTGAAGAGCCTCCTGCTAGTCAGAGCAGACAAGACTTGAGCTAGATGGACCCAAGTATCTGACCTGGTTATATGACAACTTCCTCTATTAAACAACTGAGGAAAAACCCGAACGAAAGGGAACTAACTTTAGCATTTCAGGTAACAGCTTCCTTTTTCTCTGAAACATTTTTTTTGGGTAGAGATTTCAATTCCATAACCATGAGCCATCTGCCAAAGAGCCATCAGCAGATTCCTTTCAGACAAAGCAGTGCCTTCAGTCTCCTGTGCTTCTGTAGTTTTGTAGGGTCTTTCTGCACAATCGGTCAAACAAAGTCCTAGCTGTATATTTAGCTATTTATGATGCTCTTGCAAGTCCTCCCCACTCACCTTCTTACAATGTTCCATCTGCACACTCTAGAAATGAGGGAGGTAGACGTATGTAGGAGAGGGAAAGGACACAACATCCAAAGATTATTTTTTTAAAAACTCAGCTAAACAAAATAATGGTGTGTAGCCTTTCTGGGATTTGCTACTTTTTTAAAAAATGGCTAGATGACTACTCAATTGCTGGAGCTGTACAGCAAGGGATTGTACAGCCTTCAAAGAGTGAAAATAATAAACAACCCAAAAATTCACAAATTGGTATCTGCTTGGAGGGAGAGTAAATCACTAGTCAGTCATCAATTATCCAGTAGAAGCATGTGACATGCTTGCAAGCAAATTCCATGCAGCAGTCACATAATCAGCAGATGCGCTGTTGAGGGAAGGTGGTACTTCTTTCTCCGAGCTACCTGCTGAATTTTATCTGCAGCAAAATTCAGGTGGGGAGAATGTGACTCTGCCTCCAGCAGACTGGAATATTTTAAAAATGAGGAATTTGGTAAAACCACTTAGACAACTCAGCTCCAAGTTCACCCAGGGCTTGTTTTAGTGTTTTCAGTGCCACAGCAATGAGCATTTGTATCACTGAGGTATCTGTATTCTGAAAACATTGCAATCCTTTTGTGACAAAGCACCTTCTGTAAACGCATGCAGTGTCACAGTTTTGTGACACAGTAACCCATTTAAAACTGATCTGATTGTTTTCCAATTCACTTCTGTTGCTTCTCAGTCAGAAGAACAGAAGATTTAAGGCTATGTGAACATCTGGGCAAGAAAACAGCGAATCAGAACTGAGCAGATTTTCATCAACAGATCATGTAGGACAGTGGTTCCCAATTACCCAAATACTATGGATCCCCTACTTTGAAATTTTTAATATCTCTGTGGTAGTTTTTGTTATGTGGTTAGTGCTACAGAGCCCTGCATGGGTTATGTGGACTCCCTGGGGTCTGTGGACCACCAATTGGCAACCACTGATGTAGGAGATGCACTTTCCTCTGCCCACAGCAACCACAGCCTTACAAGGTTACATTAGTATCATGGTACACATCTTGGAAGATGCTTTGTGACATAATTGCAACCAACACAATTCTGTCTTCTTCCTACAAATGCAATGCTATTTTATTTTCCTCCGTTTAAATGTATTTTTCTTCAAAGGTCTAGCAGTGGAACAAGCACATTTCCCTACCCCCACCCCACTATTTTTTTTTTAAAATCATTCCCCACAGTAAGACAACTTCTCCTGCTTTGCCCATAAAGGGGGATAGGGATGATAATTCCTAGTGGTGCTGGACTAGGGCTTGTGCTGCTTTTGGTAATTAGCAAGTACTGATTTAGTCATCCAGAAGAACATACCTAGAAATGCAGCCATGTGAGACCAAAACCAATCGGACTTGATTTTGCACCATAGTGCATTTTGCAAAGTTGGAATATTTTTATCATAAAATATATATTCGGCAGATTTCCTAAAGAGGAATTTGGTAGAACCAAGGATGGTCTGGATGACAACCTAGGGCAGCCTTCATTAACCTGGTGCTCTCCAGATGTTTTGGATCCCAGTTCCCAGCCAGCCAGCATGGCTGTGCTAGTTGGGGCTGCTGGGAGTTATAGTCCAAAACACCAGGTTAGGGAAGACTGGCCTAGACTTTCATGAAGAACCCCCCCCCCTTTCCATTCTTTGCTAACATATGTACAGTGGTTCCATAACTCTTGGTTTATTTCAAGTGTCTGTGGAAGGATAGCGGGCATTAGACGTAGGCCCTTTGAGACACAGTTTGTACACTGTTGGACTAGGAAGTATTGTGAACTCCTGCCAAAGGCCAATGGGTATGCAAGCTGTGTTATCGGCAGTAAAATGTATGGCAACTTGAATGCAAGCGTTCAGTGCATGTTGTGAGTTTGAGGGGGAATTTTGAAAATGCTGGTGATATTAGAAACCCTGGAGGCAAAAGGAGAGCATAAGGTTGGGTTGGTGCTTTACAATCAATTGTAAACGTATTAAGCATGTAATAATATGTATTAAGAAAAAGCTTCCGTTTGTACAAAACTATATTGGAAGGATCTGCAGCAGTTATAGTGCAGATACCTGGAAAAGACTGAGTGGGGGAGGAATAGAGAAAATGACTTATTGGAAGGTTCTTTCTCAATTCATTATATTACATGTTAGAACTCTCATGTTCATGAAGTGCTTCTGCAGAGACAGAATGCGGTTATTACATGCATTATGCAGTGTGCTTGATTTACAAGATATAGGTATAGGATGTGAATGTAATATTTGTTCAAAAAGCCTGTGGTTTTCAGCCTCTTTTCTTCTCAGGATTTTAAACTATGGCATATTTGTATTTCTTCCTTATCTGGGACAGAAAAATCATGTTATCTGCAAAACTAGAGTTTAAAAAAAACCCCAAACCCAGTCTAACAGCACAATCCTGAGCCCGTTTACTCAGATGTAAGTCCCCTTAAGTCCAATGGGACATACTTCCAAGTAAGTATGCATAGGCTTGCACAATCTAACAGTGCAACCCTATGCCTGTTTATTGATAAATCCCACTGAGCTCATTGAGGCTTGCTCCTAGGTATGTGTGCACAGGATTGTAGCTTTAATGTCTGATCTGTTTGTAATCTTCAACTCAACATGATCCAGTAGGCTTTGAAAAACATGTGAATTTGGAGATAAAAGTCAGAATGTTTTCTCCCCCCCACAAAAAAAATCTAGCAGTTTTTTTGATGCCTCAGCTTGCAAATAAGATCAGTCTCAAGCAACTGAAAGGGACCTGATTTTCACAAAGTATTGTACTCATAAGTTCCTTTCTTTCAAATATTAGACTGTTGAGATGTCTCATGCTAGGTACTTGAAATCAGTGGTCACATTTCTTTAAACTTTGGGGGCAAAGATTTTTATATGTTCTCTTTACCTTCGTTTCTACATGCTAGTATATGCCATAGCACAGCATGCTTTGTTGACTTATATGGTGAAGTTGTGTATATTGTATACACAGCAAGGATTAATTATAAACTATGAAGTATATATTATATATGGCTCCCCACTGGAACAGATAAAAGGTACTTTACCAAAATCTCTTCCAGTGTGAGAAGTGAGGGGCTGGCCTTTTTTGAGAAGTAGTCACAAATTTTTAAAAGAATGTTGTTTTTAATAAAACAAAGAAAAAGAAAAATGCACCACGCTCTGATTCTGAAATGTTACTACTGTTTTATAAATAAATGTATAAAATAATGGACTGGAACAGAGGAAAAAAATCATTAAAATTTATTTATTTACAATTGATTGAGACATCTGATTCTTTTGGGATACAAGGGAGCACACTAAAGCACTTCAGAAGGAACAGTCACGCTATAGTGATTATAGAAGTGACACATTCAATGTACAGTAGTTTAGGGAGGGTGAAGACTTTTGAGAAAGACTGTCTTCAAAATAGCGCAGAAGAAACAACGGGAAAGACAAACTAATTACAAAAACTGGGGACGCGGGGATCTACTTTCCATCCACTTCACCAGATGTAGCTTTCAGAGAGGAAAACTTCAAGCCTTTTCAGGGCGGAGTGGGACAAAATTGCAATATACAGCAATTTGCAAGGTGATGCTACCTTTGATGCTACAGGTAAACCATTTCCCTTGAAAATCTGGAAACTTACATGGATTTATGCTCTTTAAACAAATTGTGCTTGAGGATTAAGAGCACAAGGTGGTGCTGTTGGCATGGCTGTCCCAGAGCTTTAAAACTCCCGTCTGGCACAGATCTCTGGCTTACCTTTCATGCACAAATGAACATAACTTTTTCATACTTTCTTTATGGCCTGCGAAACTGACAAGTTATCTATGCATGCCCATGAATAGCAAGCAGTGTGGAAAGAGGGATTTAAATTTGTTTTGTGTACAGTTAGTCCAACTGGTTATGTGCTACATTTCCTATTGCTTCCCACCCCCCATTCAATTTTAATATTTGAGCCCAAATCCCATTAAATATGTGTAGTTTTAAGGGTCAGAATGGGGAAGAAACAGACAATATTTGTTAATACCTCGCTGTTTGAGATCTGGCAGTACCAGTTGGCTTCCTGACTTTCATTTCTAAAGATTGCGATGTACGGCACTTAAATTTGATGTAAGATTGTGATGTAAGGCACCTAAATGTTCTGGACTTTAATAAAATCATGCTATCTGCAGCTTTACTGTCTAAAGGGAGACAGGGAGGGTGACATAAAACTAGTATAGTGAAGAGACTGAGCTATGATCAGGAAGTCCCAGTCTGAATCTCATCTCGGACCTATGCTATGAAATTCTTCTGCTTGCTTCTGCCGGTGACCTTGTGGCTTTTCTCCGTATCTCTGGAAGGTAGCTACTTATCCAGGCTGTCCTAAGGCTCAATTGGCTGCTTCCATTACACCATACCCAATGGGACCTGCAGAAGTAGTAGTGGATTCACTTGTCATCAGTGATGATAAAGTGCAGGTGCAGGGAACCTTTGGCCCTCCGGAAGTTGCTGAACTACAACTCTGATCACCCATTGCCATTGACCATGCTCTGCTGGGGCAAATGGGAAGCCCAACATACATCCCCAAACAGTGGAACGAAAGACAGGAGCCACCTGTTTAATGTGGTTGAAATGGCAGTTCATTCAGTGGTTATGGAACTAGTAACGCTTGGAAAAACCCTGATCATTGAGGTACAGAAGAAATCTATATACTTTCTCTCTTTCCCTGTGGGGTAAGGAAACAGCAATACTGGGCACTGGAGATCAATACATGATTTTCTCCTGCATCTGTGGGGCATGGAGGAGGTGGAGTTTGAGGTGCCACTCCTACCAAAGCCCACAATACATAAATGTTGACGTTTCTCATTCACTTACCAGAAGGTCTCTTTTTTGATATCATTCCCCTGACCTAGTGCATCCTTCCAGCTCACCAGCTCATAATATTGCAGTTGGCCAACTATATTTCCTATGTGTTTTGGGTGATGGATATTCTAGAGGGCATCATTTTCATCAGGTTTTCCTTGGGGGGGGGGGAGAAGGTTTCAGCTGAGTGAGAGAGATGAAACATTCTGTGTGCACTTAAGGATATACCGACAATTAAATTGCAAGTAAACAAACAACCCAAGTGTGTTTTAAGAGCATTAATTGCCCCCTTCTAATGATCAGAGCTATAGCTCCCCTGGGGAATAATCTCACTTAGCTTGAAGTGCAAGAGAAGCCTTCCACTCTCTAAATGGCATCTCTGGGTATTCCCTTTAGTATAAAAGGGTAGAAAGCTATTTAAATCAAACAGATTTCTGCTGCGACGAAATGAATATCTCTGTAACTCCCCCTATTAGTAAAGTAGGGGTCCTCCATGTTGATATGCAGGGAGTGAGGTGGGGCCCCTTCAGATAGGAGGGCAGGAAAATCTTGCTTTAAAAAATGTCCTCAGCCAAACTGTTGATGCAAACTCACAAGCGCGATTCATGACTAGTCTCCCACCCCCTAAGGGCAAGCCTGGCAAAAGAAAATGGTCACAAGGTTCAGTAAGTTGAGCATAGAGCTACATCCTCAGTGTTTCCAGCTTGAGTTTAACATATGAGGTCCCAAAGACATGTTGATTTAACGTCAGACTCTTCCACTGCAGTTCTTCTGAGGCCCCTCATAAGCTGCCTTCTGCTCACATGGCATTTGCTACTACTGCCCTTAATGTGATGTGCTCTGTCTCATCGCCAGTCTTGTCAGAACATAAGCTAATCACATCACTCCACGTGCCTCAGAGATGGCAGCTCAAGTGGCTGTTGAGTAAAGAGTTGACTGAGGACCCTTCTCAGTGCAGGGCTGATCTGGCTAAAGACTCCTTCATTATCCTCTTTGTAATTGATTTGGCTGTGCAGGGTGGGGTCTTGGCAGCAGCTACTTTAGAAGTTTTAACCACTATTGCCTGTTTTCCTAACCAATCCACACAAGTCTTGCGATTGGCACCAGAATTAAAAGGTGCCAAATTTAAGCCCCCACTTGCCAAGGAACAAGTGAGAGTGCACTTTAAGACTCCTGATTGCTCCTTTGCAGTCACAGCTTTACCTGCCCCACATCTGAGGTGGAAAGCTGGAATAATTGGGAAAAAATGTTGTATGTAAATATGTATGAATTTTAAATTTTGAAGCGAACTTTTACCAGGATTTCGGTGTTTGCAGAGGGAGCCACCTAGTGGATGCTATATGCATTGGCTCTTCATTTAGTTCTGGAATATGACAGCAAGAGTCTTGATTCTGACACTAATGCCTTAATTGCAACAATTGTGACCTGCAAGTAATAGTGATGTTGTGCAATGTCACAAATGCTTGCTTACAGAAGACCCTCCATGTGGTTACAGTGGTACCTCAGGTTACATACGCTTCAGGTTACATACGCTTCAGGTTACACACTCCGCTAACCCAGAAATAGTGCTTCAGGTCAAGAACTTTGCTTCAGGATGAGAACAGAAATCGTGCTCTGGCGGCGCGGCGGCAGCAGGAGGCCCCATTAGCTAAAGTGGTGCTTCAGGTTAAGAACAGTTTCAGGTTAAGAACGGACCTCCAGAACGAATTAAGTACTTAACCTGAGGTACCACTGTACACTTTCCCTTTCAGACTCAATTTGCGGAGGATGAGAACAGCAGACACCCCACGTTGCCCTTTATTGCCTTATGAAAGTTCATTCCTTACTGTATTGCTAGAGAAATCTTCCTCCCCCTTTGTGTAGGTTTGCAATGTGTGTGTGTGCGGAATGGTGGGGTGAAGTTGCAGTGGAGGGTAGTCTGTGGTAGAAGCAATGTGGAGAGGTTGCAATGGGGTATTGTCCCCCACAACAACTTCCCATGCTGGGATGGAGTCTAGCAACAACTGGAGGCCCACAAGTTACCTACCTCCGTTCTGCTGCAAAATTATGTAAAAAGTGGGCTCAACCGTTTATTTTAATACCTTTATAGAATGGCTGTTATTCCAAGGGGTGTAAGAGCACAGCCAGTGCTTTCCTTCTTCTTCTTATAGGGGGTACACAGTACCTGCACCTCTTTTCTGTTGTTGTTAAAAAGTGTGGCACTTACTCTAACAACTTCATGGTGAGTACCAGCAGCTATTTTTTCTAGAAAAGTACAGCCATCATACTGTTGAACCAAACTGATCTTCTCCTTCTCTTCACCCCTCTCCTCAGCAAAGACCCACACACTCTGAAGGGTATGCGACACATGCATGGCTCCTCAGGTAGTTTCCTATCTGAATTGTTTGTGTCAGAAATGTACCTACCACCTTCCCTGAGGGTTTAATTACTGAGCCAGGCAGCTAATCAGAGGTCTGCAGCTGAAAAGGTGTCGTCATGGTTACAGGCTACCTAGGCTCACTCACAAGTCCTCTGACTCATAGCATCATGTTGGAAGGGCACAAATGGGGACGGTGAACTGAGGACATGGGAAGTTTAAAAGT